ATAAGATAAGATAAGATAAGATAAGATAAGATAAGATAAGATAAGAGATTTATTGCTGCCATAGTGGGGAAATTTGCACATTTATAATAAAACAGACCCAAGCAGGGTGTCGAATCCTGCATGTTTTAGTTGTTTCTCTACGCTTCATGTTCTGCAGAAACCCGTTAATTACTCGTTAACTCAAATCAGGTGCGTTAAAGCAGAGAAACACCTGAAACATGCAGGACCAGGACCAGGACCAGGACCAGGACCAGACACCACAGGTCTAAAGTCAACTCACCTAGAGAAGGATGAGGGAACTTACCTGATATAACAAAGAGCTCATTTTAGTCCTGCTTCTATCTGGAAACTCAGGTTTAAAAAGTGTTTTTCTTAATAAATTTCTGATTTTTTCTTGGGAGTGTGGCTCCCAAGCTTTGGAACAATCTACCCCACAACKTTAGACAGRCCTCRTCACTTCCTGTTTTTAAATCTCTATTAAAAACTCACCTGTTCTCTCAGATTTTTGATTAACTGTGAGTTACGTGTTTATCGTTGATGTTTTGTCTTTTATWTAAATTTTTGCCTTGTGTTCAGCACTTTGGTGACAACTTGTTTTTAAAATGTGATTTATAAATAAACTTGATGATGATTAATGAGGTTCTGCAGCTGAGCTCCTTAATCTGCTGTAGGATTAAACTGTGTCTCAGCGGAATCTATGGGGCTGCAGCAGCACTGAGTCATCTAATCTATGGGTTAGGACCATGTTTAAATTTGATCAAACGGTTCTGTCTTTCAGGCAGAAACGATGTGAAACCCACCTGAAGAACTCAAAGTTCAGACACGCCTTGGGAAGGAAGAATTTGTCGTCCTGCTTAAACCACACTTTACTCATGGCAGTGTTCTGGAAGAAACACACGTTTTCATGTCAACTCCATGTTTACGATGAAGAAAGAAGTCAGATTTATTCCAGTTTACTGTGAAAGGTTATTCAAAAAGTCCCAACAGAACCGGCCTCTGGGTCCAACACTTGCCTTGATCAGCGTAGGGAGAGACGGAGAGTCTTTCTCCAGAGGGTAGATCTCAAAGTTTGTGGGGATRAACTCGTTCTTCATCGGTAATTTGAACTGCCCGTTCAGGTCGGCGTTAGCCCACGTCTGAAACACACGAGGTTGTCKATTTATCCAACTGAACCTTTGGGTCCAGGACTGGTTGGAGACGAGTCAACCAATCAGAATGACTTAAAGGAATTCACGATTAGTTGTAACATTAGACTTTATTTCAACTGTAAAATAAAGACTGTAAAATATTTTAACACGGACGGAGCCATTTTATTTCCACACAAAGCATTCTGGGTAAATGATGA